ACTTTTCTCGCCTTCTACGCGCTCACGCTAGCTGTGTGTCAGAACCTTTAAGGATATGTTTGTTTAATGTTTATGTTAGTTTGTACTATTTTATGTGTTTCATTAAGTACATTAGGTAAGCAACATATTAATGCGATGCGTTATCGATTTATTGACATTCCTTACTCGATAATTGACATTATCGATTAATAACTTATAATTAAATGGCCGAGTTTAATTAGTATTTTTACGATTAATTCTTAATGCTTGCATGATTGGGTAACCTTGATAGGTTTAAACACTTCTGTGCGTAGTGTTAACTGTTGTGTAACAAAATTACATTTAGTAGGTCCTATAGTTTGATCCAATATCCATACGTCATACCAATTTATTCTCGTGTAACAATGTTTAACACAACTCCACTAAAAAGATTCTTATAAAGTCAGTAGGTCTGAGAATAGGTAAACAATTTTTTAAACCCCTAGGTGATATGGGCTTTTCACGCGTATGAAGGGCACGGCTAGTAGGTACAAATAATATAGTAGGTAGGTATATACTATTGTCTTTTATTCAGGGGTGGGAAAAAAACTGTCTGCGAAAGGTTTCAGTCTGGCCCGCTAGCCTTTCAGAATAGATGTGTATCCATCCATGCCTTCATAATAAAATGCTTGAATAGTGTCGCTTATAAAGAAGTAAAATATAGAGAATATTTTAAATGTACCTATTTACTCAATTACCTGCTCATTACATACCTATAAAGAATATTTAAATATGACATCAAATACCTTTGTTCTAATTTTCAGCATGATTTTTGAATAGTTAATTGATATTAGGTTCTTTCTACAGATTTTAATTAATCTTCTAATTTGTGTCAAATTGTCTAATCGTATATGGACTTACTCGAGTTTCCGTTATGAATATTTAAGCCCCTTATTTCACCCCTTCAGGGAAATAATTTCAGTGCCTGGCGTTTTAGTACAGTCGGCATCAAAAACATCTTCACGAATTTCATACAGTACAAACCCATAAAGTTTACTATAATGTTTCTGATCAATTCGACTGGGTTAGACAATATAAAAAAATATTACGTGTATTGAAATAGTGACTACTTCTCTTGCGCTACTTCTTTTCAGCATTGGCTTACAACTAATATTACAAATGCGAAAGTTTGTATGGATGTTTAGATGTCTGGATGTTAACATGTTTGTTACTCTTTCACGCAAAAACTACTGAAAGATTTTTGATTAAACTTTACAGTATTCTTTTTTATAACCTAGAATATCATATCTAAATATATAAAAGGAGAAACTGACTGACTGACTGACAGATCAACGCACAGCCTAAACGGCTAAACGTAGGCACTTGAAATTTGGAAGAGACGTAGCTTAGGTACCGTAGAGGTGCACTAAGAAAGGAATTCCCGAAATTCCCACGGGAACGGGAATTAGCGGGAAAAACGGGATTCACGCGTACGAAGTTGCGGGCGGCCGCTAGTAGGCTATAATTTATGACGATCTGTGACAAACTAAATTTCACGCGGGTGAAGCCGCAGGCAAATGGTTCTATAGTAGAGTGAAAAAAGTGTTATACGTTGGAAAGTTTTAAGCCAACTGAGAAAAAAAGTGCGTGATAACACAATGCTTGTGTTATTATAACACAATGCTTGTGTTATCACTTAGCCTGTAACGGGATATCGTTTTTAATAATAACTTGGTTTCGTCCTTGCCTAACCCGACTTCTATGAAACTGTGACATCATTATTACTATGCAATTGCATTAAACAAAGTTAAGAAATAATACATTATTGCACAATGAAATACTTGTATATGTATTGTATACTCAATGCATTTTTCACGGCGTGTAAAATTACGTTTATACCACGCTTCGTCATTTACAATTACGATTGACTACTTCCTCTTTGAATTTCCATGTTTCTTTGTTTTTTTTTATCGTAAGATTTGAAATTTTAACTTTTAATAAAATTCAAAGCTTAATGGAAGTTATGTCTCATTTTTTTCTTTGAGTACCTACTTTTAGGTGTCGGTGGTTAGTGGTCCTGAAATTCAGGGTCGCCCTAGTTTAGGCTCAGTTTAACATAATTATCCTCCTAATATTTATGATTAATTAATTTTTTTGAAAGCATTTTTACTATGTCCATTATTTTACAATAAAAGAGCGTATGTGCAAAAGTACCTATGTGTAAAATGAAATCTTTCGCGCTGTAATGGGCTACAGACTAATTTGACTGCTTTTATGGAATAGTCGTATCTATCTATGTAAAGAATCGCGTATAGAATAAAAATCAATCATAGTTATTATTGTAACGTTATTTTGTAAGAAACTTAACGCCATCATGATCATACGTATTAGAGAGATAGTTTCTAAGTTCTAAACAAGTAGGTACACAATAACAACTATATGTTACTACTATTTAATGCAGTCAACATTGCTGAAATAATTTGTAGCAATATTATCAGTAATTTAATTTTAATAGGTATTGAATGTATGGACTTAAAAAATAAAATAAAACTAGTTTATACAAACAACTAATAACGAAAAAAATAATACTAAAATAGATATTAGCAGTTTATTGAGTACTGATGATCTTGTCGTCTTGGCGTTTGAAACTAATCATTGATTTATTGCACCAATATTAGGATCTGATTTACATAAAAAATCGATAACACGTTGTCTTAACTCTGAATTATGAGCGAATAAATCTGGCTTGATGTCTTAATAGTTAATATGTGATTATTGTGACCATCCCGTTAATTTCACAATATTTTCAAAGGCTAATGTTGCAAGTGAAGATAAACATCGACTCTTGCGCATCTTACGATCGTTAAACAGTTAATTGTAATTTAATCAATGTTTTATTATGATGGAATAGGGTTTCTATTTTTTTTTTCTTACATTAGCCTTTTGATTTCAACTGGGCAAACGATGAATTTATTTAAGTATTGTTGTTAGGCGGTTTTGGAATTGTATGCATTTTAATTGATTTTCCTAATTTTTTGACTACAATGTAACGCTGCGTAATCAAAAATTGATTGTAGTTTTCAATAAAACGACTTCTCAGTACTTAAAAAAATGTATTCTGATTTATGTTGTCAACTGTACCTGCTCTAGATTTTTTTAAACTTTATTTAACAGTAAAATGTCATTGTCTCTTAGCGTCAAAAGGCGCCACTTTGTCATTCTCAATTTGTAGGTACTATTAGTAGTACAAACAATAACACGTTTCAAACCAGTGTCATAGTCCGCAATGATCTAACAATGATTACCTACATGACCCGTGACCCCCTCTTTTTGTAGTGTCTAGTGATACCTAGGTATCATATTATGTGACATGACAATGACAGTATGATTACATATGATTGATAGAGCGATATAACACAATTTCATTTGCAACCTGTTTTGTTATCGCCTCACTTATCGATTTTCTATTTGGATCATTGGCACGCGGTTTGTTTATTGTGTTAGGTGTAATGTTGACATTAAAAATATTGTGTAAGAAAATACTAAAGTAGAGATTCAGTTTCAAAGCGAAACAGAAAAAAATCTTAAGTTTTTTTCAGTTTAGTTAGGACATTAAAACAACCTGAAAAAATAATATTTCGTGCTTCTGAAAGGACGCTGAGCTGTCACTTCAACTGATTTAAGAAGCAGATGTTTAGATGTATTTTTTTAGTTATAATTTTTGCAATCTTAAGCTGAGTTTCACCACCTAACTTTGACCGTAACTTTAGCGATAACCGGTGCATTTTGTATGGAGTTTGACAGATTTTTGACGTTTGTAAAAGTTAAAGTAAGATGGTGCAACCCAGCCTTAATGAAGAAAATTGTGATTTTAATATGAATTCATTCTTAACTTTACGAAAGTAATGATCAATCAGCAAAAAATCCATTCAACAAGTCGAGAAGACTTCCACTTAATAACGAACTTTTCTCCGCAAAGCTTAGCAAATCATCTACTCTCAAGGTTGCAATAGTCCATATTCTTCCGAATCACCATCTCAACTGTTTTAGTACAGCTCAAACACACTTAGACATGTTTACGCTTTCCACTCTCAAGTGGTTCGGCCAGAATGTATTTGGTTGCAATAAATAAATCTACATAATTACGCGTTAAAAGTGTTTTCGCATTAGACCAAGAGCTAGTGAACGCCAGACCTACGTCATTTTATAAAAGCTGAAAGTTTGTCAGCGTATGCTCCCAATATAGCTTAGAATGTTGATGCATTATGGAGTTTGGGTCATCGTGGCTTTGGCAGCTACCTTAAAAAGATTGTCTGGCAAGGAGTTGGTACGGTCAAAACTATCTGGCTGATGAGGAAACAACTTCAAATCATTGCCCAAATATTATACCAAGTTGCCAAAGCTACGATGACTCAAACTTCATGATGTATCAACATTCTAACCTATATTGGAAGCATACGCTGACAAACTATCAGCTTTTATAAAATGACGGAAGTCTGGCGTTCACTAGCTCTTGGTCTACATGTTTGATGTGTAAAGCGAGACTTGAGTGATAGGACAATGAGTGATCAGTACGCCTCCCATTTGTGTTTGTGATAGTACTTTGAAAATATTTTGTTTTACATGTGGCTATGACTTTTGCCCTCAATATCATCTGAGGTTGAGGTCTGAAAAGACAAGCTTACTTAGAAAATTGAAGATACCAGTCGTTTAAGTGCGGTACCTATGACAGACGGTGGAAAAAGTTCCTTTACTTGGAAATAGTCCTGATAAACTTTCCAGCAATAGAAATGCCAATGTTTAGTCAGCGGAAAATATCGAATTAGGGTTTTTTCAACAATAGTATCAGTACTATCTAAAACCTGAATTAGAGTCCAGAGTATTAATCTTTATCTATTGTAGCATGGTTTTTCCGAACTCGAATTTGGTCGTCTGTCCATCGGGAGACTAATGATGATTTCAGATTTATTTTATTAGTTTTTCTATTAATTTACTTGGTATTTGTTCTTCCAATAATTAAATGTATTTTTCTTTGGTTTCAGGTTACCACAGCTTGCCGTCTCTGCGAAGATATTGTGCCTCCTGATGGTAAGTATTATGTTCTAGATATAGTACGTTTATTTATTCCTATAATTTTATATTAAAAATACTATAAGTACCCACAAAAAACATTCTGAAAAGAAATCTGTGCATTACCTGTGCAAATTGCCAAATATTGCCATTTAATCGTCTTGATATTCATTTAAGTTATTTATAATAATTATAATGCGGTAATTTTTCGTATTTATTAAAGACCTTTTAACATCATGACACAAATTAACTTTATCATATTGACATCGAACACGCATAATTATATTATGAATATGATTATTTAATCAAAATCGTGTAAATCATATTTATGTAGGTACCTACAATAAATTCTGGATATTACTGAACATTGGTATCTTATGCAGTTGTAATAAGAACTATTTTGCCACAGCTATGTATAGTCTGATGTGCTGCCGGCCTACTCTCAAACACGATATCCGAAGTTTCGAATGTTACCATCCCTCTCACGCAAAGAGAGATGCCATCATGAGCGACAGTGACAGACAGGACTGAAACTACGTAAACGGCGTTACGGAGTAGGCTTGGTAAGAAGACCGTAGAAATCTCCAGCCGCCGATGTCTGTAGGAAAAGCCAACAACGACCGTGAAAATCAAGAAAATGTAATATGTGCACGTACCTAATATATTTCTAAAAGTCAAGTCGAGTGGCCATAAATATGTATGATTAGTATCTAATTAATAATAATAATAATAAATACTATTTATTGCACACCACATAAAAAGAACAGAAAGAAAAGGAACACATAAGGTACAATTAGGCGGTCTTATCGCTATGAAGCGATCTCTTCCAGACAACCTATAGCCTAATTCTTAAACTGAGTCAAGATTTAAAATTTTCTTTAGCCATCAATACCAATTTCAAACGCTAACCCAAGAAAATGTAGTAAGTGCACTTACGATATTTCCAAGAAAAGTCGAGTGGCCATAATAAATACGTAAATGATAGTATCTAACACAGCTCATCACCGGCGGGTGTTTAGCGAGACCCTATCATTTGCTGAGATTGCCCCACAATATACGCTTCAATGAAGAAATTTTCCTTATTGAATATTGTTATTAAACGTACCTTTGTATGCAACTGGATATAGTTTAATAACCTGGTGAGAGAAAGAAAATTGTTCAGCACTTTAGGCAGAATAAAATTAATAACCTACGTAATGTTCTAAAAAGGATACTTAGATGCTCAGTATAATGTCGGCGCTAGTTGTTAAATAGGAGTAAAAAGTTTAGACTCCTTATTTAAGATATTATCTGGATATTTTTGTCAAATTGACAATCGTTGTTATTAGATATTCTTAATACTGGCCTTGATTGCATATTGAACATAAATTAGTTTCTACTTCATTTGCCTTATCGCCCATTGAATGTTTAGCTTTAGAATAAAAAGACACATTGCTTAGGTGTCGCACTTTTATGTCGCTTTGGTCCGTTCAGCCAATCAAATGGTGACCGAAAAAATCAACAGTGGGCCGATATGGCACGAATAAAGGTGTTTTATGAAAATATAAGCACATTCTTTACATTTTGATTTTATTGTGAACGTAAAATGTATTATCAGACAGGAAAGGATTTGATCAAAAATGCGGACTAACGAGATATATTTTTGGTTTGGCGTAAGAATTTTAAGGAACAGTGCTTTTTAAAAGACTCTAAAAAAAACCATTGAGAAACAATGTTTTGCAAGCATTCGTTCTTTCTCGAATCAAGAGTCTTTTCGTGAACACAGTTTATATTTACAAATCTCTGACATTAGATTGTAGGTATGTCATTAAGGCTGGGTTGCACCATCTTAATTTAACTTTGACAAACGTCAAACATCTGTCAAACTCGGTTATCGTTATAGCCACGGTCAAAGTTAGGTGGTGCAACTCAGCCTAAATGTTTGTTTCGCGAATATTGTGTTCGAGATTCGGATGCAAGCAGAACTTTGCGAACGATCGTTCGAGTCACGAGAGTCTTCTATCGGTCGTCTTTAGTATAATTTATATTTTATTTGGTTTGATTATTTAATAAACAAAATACCACCGAAATGATATAATATCTTGTAGCTAAGGTAACTAATTTAATCCTTGAGCTGAGGAAATAAAAAAATGCAAGTATGATAAGCTATCTTATAATATGCACTTATTTAAGGAAATTTTAGATTATATTATAAATTCGTAGCGCCATAATGATTGATAAGATTGTTAGGTAAAAATCACGTGTGAATATTGTGAAAAAATAAACACCTAAGAAGGCAAATCGTTTGGAGGAGGAAAAGCACCATAAAATATAAGCCACCCTTATGGTTTCACAATTAGCCCATCGAAAAGGCAAATGAAGATTCATACCTTTACTCGTTTAAGTTAGGCACCGTTTGATTTTGATGACTTTCACGTTGGGATCCTTGTGTCGAGTCTATATTACCTATCATATAAAAATCGTAGAGAATGAGTGTAAAAATAGTTTAACTTTAAAAATTCATAAAAGTCATTTATATTTGCAAGTAGGCTTTTAAAAAGCACTTTTACACGTCCCAGTCACGGTCCCAGTATTAACCCTACCTAACACCTAAAGAAAGATGGAGTATTATTGGATAGAAAATCTACATAGGTTACCGAAAGTGCCAGTACTATAATTAGTAACTTAAGTATAATAGAGATGACAAAAATCGTAGTATGCAGTTTGCATGACCTCCCACAAAAATTATAACGAACCTACCTTCGTAGACAAAATCAATAGATTAGTAAAATGTTTGATGTTCACACGCTGTGAAGATTTCCGATACACTTGTCGTGGATAGTCTGCGGTCGGGCGTCACTAACTCGAGATAAACAATGTTGGAGTGACCTCCGATAATGCACTGAACTGCTAATTTGGAGATAGGATTGTACGGAAATGTTTACAGGTTAGTGATAATTACTTGTAAACACTGCTTCTATCATGACTATCAGTCTATCTTTCATGGGGAAATTACAAGCTTCATCAATCGAAATTTCCAAGAAAAAATATTAGGTATGCCATGTTTCGGTAGTCAATTGGTCACGTTTAGTAGTTGCTAGTTCTTCAGTATAATGATATTGAACTGGCCAATGGCGTTAGATAGAAGAAGAATTAAAATAAACAATGTAGAGATTTTGATATAATGCAATTCAATTCATTAACGTCTTTTACAACTTTATTGCACACTATAAACACACAAAACAACAGCGGAAAATAATGCATTGAGAATTCTCTCATCGCATCATACTCATAATGAGTCGTTAACTTGGCTTATCCCCAATTTACCTTAAAGCAAACCATCGTAATTTATCTTTACAACAAATTCCGCTGGTTTCTGTATTTGACAGAGTAATTATTTCATCAACTAGCATAATTATTAGTCTCAACAAAATCATCTGCACAAAGTTTAATTGCTGGAACTAATTGAGATAAAGATGCTGCTATTTACTCACAAACAGTTGTAAATATAATTAAAATCACATGTAGCGAAGCCGACGTGACCAGTCATATAAAATCTGCATAAAAATTTACTGCTTTATATGTGTGCTACGGGACTTTACGCTTTTATGCATATTTCTGTAACTCTATTTACATAATTATTAACACTATATTAGACGTATGATCGTTAGCTTTATAGTTTATTTTGACGTGTTATAATTGTGTTTATTACCCGAATGGATTTCCTAACATTTTGAAATGTTTACTGTATTGGAACCTTTTACGCTGTTCAAGCAAATTAAGGGTAGCATTCCTTAAAAGTCAAATCCAGGTATTGTTTACAAAAAGTCGCCGTGAAACGCAATATGGCTGAATAGTGACCGCGTCGCGGTAGCCTATGCTTTCCCACTTGAATATGACACCACAGCAGCAGTTACAGAAGGTCTTATAAAAGCAAATGATCAGAAAGAAAAATTAACTTTTGTAGACAATAAAATAGAATGTAAAATCGTGTGTGCCCCAAAGAATGAACCCCAGCCCGACGGATTAGCTCAGCGCGGTTGACCCATTAAAACGATCGATTGTTTCCTTATTGTACTGCTTGGAATGGTCGGTTCTAGTAATTATTACAAAATCCACAGAGATTGTGAAAGTGTTTCTTTTGACGTTTCGATGACCATTGAATAATCTTATGTAAATTAACAGACAATTTATTAATATGGCAGCGGTTGGAGACCACTATAGAATTTCAATTTTTCTAATTAAGCACCTGGGAACGTTTGGGAGCTGTCAGCGGTCTTAATTGAAGTTCAAAACGGTGGTAGCTTTGAGGGTTAACTGGTAAATATTCAGTGGTTCAGTTCGTGAAGTTCAGGAGGTCGACGAGATAGGCCGTTGATCAATATCTGCGTAATGAGGTGTTGGTACAACAGGCGCCATTAAAACCCGGTGAAAGCACAGTAACAGTATAAGGAAACTAATTTAAACCAATCAACACTAGCGGCTAGTGTGATAGGATTTCACTGATATAGGCAGACCACCGCGGAGTTCAGTGTGGTGATTGATACGTATTTCGATCACACTTCGTTGGTAGCGACTTTAAAATGATATTTGTATTGTGCAAGTTATCTTTTATATTGGCGTGACTGGTATAAATATTGCCTATAAAAATGTATCAATTTATACCTTTAAGTACTTTTATGACTACAAACAATAAAATAGATATTGATAGAAGTAATTATTTTCATTGGCCCCCATTTTTTTCCTGCCATGCCATGATGCCTGTAGCAACTCTTTGATACATCTCAGGGTGCGAACTCGAATGAGAAGTGGTGGAGAATGAAATCTTATCATCTTCACCCGTGCGTGTCTATCGGCTAGAATGCAGATTACATCGTAAAAATTGACGCATGTGGTTTTATAACCTCCTTTGTTCAAAAGTCCGGAAGGTATCCAACGTAACACCTTTGTGTCATCTATGGCGTCAGTTCGGACTCAGCACTAGTGAGCAGGGATGTTATGGATATCCGTAACCGTAACCGAAACATTCGGATATCCGAAATAAAAAAATATCCGAAACCGTAACCGTAACCGATTCAAAAGTTTCGGATAGTTTCGGATGTAGGCAGTTTAAATTGTTTTTTGTATAGCATAATATGTAAAGACATAACAGCCTGATTTACCTTTATAATGCCATCTAGTATCAATTTTTTTTTTTATTACTTTTTATTTGATGTAAAGTGTGCGGCCATGAATGAGTCGTGGTGGACAACTATTGCAAATTGCATTCTAAAGCACAGATATCCGTAACCGTAACCGAAACTTTCGGATATCCGAAATAAAAAAATATCCGTAACCGTAACCGAAACCGGTATAATATAATTCCTATATCCGTAACCGTATCCATAACCGAAATTACATATCCATAACATCCCTACTAGTGAGTAACCCTGGCATAAATCAGTGGTTTACAGCCCACTGCGTTATCGCAGTTGATTTAGCATGACCATTAGCTGTACGCTTGTACTTACGTTTAGATAGACCTGTACATGGCAATGGAATTAGTCCCGCTGCATTTGTACACACGCCCATCATGTTTCAGCATTGATCTGGTTTACTTATGTTTTTGATGTTTTAGATAAGTGTATGATCTAGGTCAAAAGATATTTGAATTTTAAAAAGACATAATATCCTCATAATATAGCCATATGTAATGCAATTAGTGAGTACTATCATCATCGGGTGCCTAACGTCCTGATGCGTGCGTGCCTTATTCTGTGGCCCGACTTTCGCCTGGCGCGGCAGCCAAATAAAAAGCCTAACAAAAGCCGGACAGGCCGGACATAGGTTATTTTGGCCGGACACGCAATCAAAAAGCCTAACTATGTCCGGCTTTGTCCGGACGCCTGGCAACCCTAGTTACGGTTAAAGTAAGGTGGTGCAACTCAGCCTTTGTGACTTTTTAATTGAATTTTCGGTGAAATAACCTCATTTAACATCCAGGTGGTGATCTGCGGTGCGGTGCCGTCGATGGTCCGTTCAGTGCGCCTCTTCAGCCAGTGCTCCCACCGGTACGTCAACGTGTTCCCAAACGGCACCGTCATGGCCCACTCCGATGGAAACGACCAGTGTGAGTACCTTTATTAAGGTTCGGCCAAACCAACGCGATCAACCGGCGTGCAGCGATGGCGATCAATGCATTTAGGTCTGGTCGCCATCGCTGCACGCCGGCTGATCGCGGTGTGATCGCGTTGGTTTGTCCGAACCCTTACTGAACAGCTCGTTCGATTTTCAAAATTTTAAATGGTCAGTGCTCTTTTGTTTTAAAGTTTTCATGTTAGTGGCCGGTGTATTTGTCTTTTGAAGATGTTTTATTACTGGCCAGTGTTCTTTAGTTTTGCAAAGTTTTCATATTATTATTGACCAGTTTTTTGTCCTTCAAAGTTTTCGTAACACTGACAACTGAGCAGTGTTTTTTTTTGTCCTGAGATGTCTATTTGCATAGGGGAATGGTAAATCACGTAGGTACCTTACTATAGGTACGAAACATTCATAAGATAGACATTTAGTATGGCGAAACTGTCCCTGATTAGAAAAATAGATTAAAATCTAACATCCTCAATACCTTTATCAATACATTCCTTTGATTACAACGCGATTAGCATTGTTTGAACTCAAGGTTTACTATTATTTTTTCAGTTAGTAAACGAGTAAATAATGAACTAACTTATCAATCAAGTATCGTTGATAGACATACTATGGCAGATAACTGTTGCGGTACAGGATACAACAATTGATTTATTAAGAAAGTGCTTATTTGTTACTAAACGTTAGGTGTTTACTTATTGTGCATTGTATTAGCATCAGTTACTGCAAGCTGTTATGTAAGAGGTGCATATTACAGAACAAGTCACGCCTAGATTAAGGCAATTTATTGGTTGAATTTCAATATTTAGAACAGAATTCATCATTGAGATTAAAATTAGTTTTGAGTCTTGTTTCATAACTAACTTTTGCCCGCGGCTTCACCCGCGTGAAATTTAGTTTGTCACAGATCGTCATAAATTATAGCCTATATGTTATTCTGGGTTATAAACAATAATACTGTAAAGTTTCATCAAAATCCGTTCAGTAGTTTTTGCGTGAAAGAGTAACAAACATCCAGACATCCAAACTTTCGCATTTATAATATTAGTAGAATTAGTAGAGGAAATTAGATATCTATAATTTGTCTAACAGACAGATGCTACTGAAGTATTAGAGTTAGAAATCAACTAGTCAGTAAATTAGAGTAACTGTGATAACAATGCTAGTGTTTTTACAAAGGCGATAGGCTTAGGGCTAGCTAGACGTGAGAAACTATAGGAATATGTCAATACCTGGGGTCAACGGCCAGTCACCACAGGTACGGTCCAGCGATATAGTAGCAGTGAAATGATGGAATGCCATGCGTTTGTGAATGACGAAAAGAAGCAATATTCAAAGAAACTAGCAAATTTTTCTTTGTAAAATGCACTTTCTTGCCTTTTTAATAATGCTTAAAACAATTTCTGCGAATAAGTAACCGTGAAATGACGGAATGCCACGCGTTTGCGTATGAAAAAAAAACGATATTAAAAGAAAAGAAACATATTTTTCTTTGTAAAAGGCACTTTCTTGTCTTTTCAACAATATTTAAAATAATTTAATTTTAATTTTAAATAAAATTTGTCATGCCGGATTAATTACACCATTGATGCGATTTTATATTGCTTTAAATTATATTATGACGTTTCATTATCCGGTGATTTGTTTACGCCCATAAAACTTTGAAACGTGCAAATGACGTATGAAGTGCGTAGTTGGTGGCCTACGTATTCTTATTTCATTTTATTCAACGTATATTTAGTAATATCTACTACTTACTTTCTATTGATTTCTCAATTATTAATGGTATGTTTGGATAGCTCAGGCCTTTAGAGCATTTATGGACTGACGAAGGACAGAGGTCGTTCGATTCAAAACTAATAGAAAAGTTATTGTAAAGGTCAAATTACTTGCTTTGTCTATTATTATGAATAAGAACACTTTATGTAGGGCACCAAAACAAATAATTCTTAACATAAATCGCTATAATGTGCACACGTTTATTTTAAAATAACAGATAATCTTTCTTTTATGCTTAATCTTGTAATTATTATTGAAAAAATAAAAAACAAACATAAACATCAACGTCGGTTGGTCCTTTCAACACATCTCAATAAAGCTGGTAATTACGCAAACTTGTCTCAAGTGATAATGTTCGATGTATTATTGAATGCCGTAAAACATGTCCACTCCGAGAAAAAGGTTGAATTCTTGACGACAAAAAGCGCAAAAAGTTTTCGGCGTCTCTACTATAAATCTCTATTCTTTTCTCTTTTTTATTGCCTTTTGCAACAAGGATCCCCAATTAACTCGTCACTCGACTAGTTTTTAGTTTTTCCTTTTATCGGCGAAAGCATTCGCGAATATGTAATACTTATTTCTCTTGCATTACTTAATATTTGCCGTAAGAGTGTGTAACTTTTAGCGCGACGCTTGTCCAAATAAAGCGTGCTTTCTCCTTTTATTTTGTCTGCACGTTTGTGGTTTGTTCAAGAATTATCGCAGATTCTTCGAGTTCAAAGACCATTTCAGATGAACTATGTATAGGAAACAAAAGACGATCGTTCTAAGTAAAAGGTAATTTTAGCATTTGTTTTATTTCGAATGAGTATGTAAGAAGCACTTGCAAATACAAAAACGCCTTATAAAGTAACTAATGCCATAATGCTAATGTACCAATTTAACTAGTACTTTACTAGTAGAAGTGCTCTATGATAGAGAAACTTAATTGAAATCAATAGATATTATTAATGTCAACATTAATGAAGAAACCCCATTGTTAACACACCTCTTTTTATAATATCGTATTTATAAGTACCTAAGGGTATATTATCCGATGCTTCTGATGAAATTGCAGACGGGATTATTATGAACCCTAAATCGATTATAAGATTTTGATGAATCGAATTATGCAGGTTCATTGATTGGCTACCAATTAAAAAGTGTCCTTAGTATTGTGCCTTGATATGCCACTTTGAACTTTAAACCTACATCATTACTGTCTTAATTAGGTCAGCAGTTTCTTGGATTAGAATGTGATGTGCGTACGTGCGCCAAGTCTTGAAGTTCACATTACAAACGCACTAGAAAAAGGTTCTGTCAACGTTTTTGGCCCTAACTCAATGTCGTAAGGTTGCTATTGGTTTAGTTTCTTGCGGTACACTGTAACTGCTTAGTTTGACCTAATACGGGTGACAGTTGCATATCAGCATTTGGACACGTAATTAATAACGAAGATATTATGACCTACAATGATGGTTTATTGCATCAACCGATTAAATTGAAGTTTGCGATAATTTTGGTCAGTAAGTACGGAAATACGCACGTAAGATTTATTTTCCCATATCCAATATCATCGTACCTTATCTCAGTCTACTGAGTATGGGCCTTCCCTAAAGCTGCTAGCAAACCTTTTTTTCCTATATGTCGCTCTATCGTGCACACTAAAACTTTGCTTGGGTAGTTTTAAAATCGAGTCTCGGTCTGGAACTGTAATCCACTTTGCTTTTTAATTGCTCATTAGTAATTCAACATTCACATCAACAAAGTTCCCGAACAAGCCCAACGTCTAAATACCATTACAAGTGATTTAGCTCCAAAAGTGCCCACAGACCAAGTAGGTACAGCCCACTTTCCATAAATAAATCAGCGGCGACCGGGAAGCTATTAATCGAATAAGAACAATAATCGCGTGAGAATAAACATTTATTTGTTGCCGAAGAAAAAAATTAATCACTTGACCCGTGTTAGCATACGCGTTTAGTTGTGAAGCAATAAAAGAAACTACACGGCCAATATTAAATTTAACGATTTAATACTGCATCGCCACTATCGTCTGATCTGAGCTTCTTAAGTTCACGAAGACAGTTCCAAAATGAATGGCAGGTCTTTTTACGTTTGTGAGTTAGCGAGTTTGGGCGAGTTGCACCGCCTACCGACGAATACCGCGTGAAATATGTGACGCGTTTTAATTAAAATTAGATTTAAAGCCGCTGATAAACGAATTTAATTACAACAAGTTAGAAATATGACTGGCCGAATAACGGTAGCGTTGCGAGTGCAGCGGAAAAGAAAAAAGAAAATGGAAATTTTGAAAAAGATAAAGCTCCTTTTTTTAATTTCTGAGGTTGCCAGTGCGTTTTGCTTAAATCACGTGCAGTAAAAAAACGGACGAAGTACCGAGTGAGGTTATGAAACGGCCTAGTTTTTATGCTAAATGGCTATAACGCTACTCCAAAGTAGGTCAGAGAAATGTAAAAAAATATAATCTAAAATGGAAAACCTCTGCTTGTTATTATTTTACAATAACAACATTATCGACAGACGATTAAAGCACGCTTCATAGTTATCTTATAAGTGGTTGATTTTTTGCCTGAGTCCATCGAAATCGCGTTTTGAGGGACGGAAATTATATTAAATCAATCGACTTGGGCGGCGCGGCGCCTTCCTAATTGAGTTGTTATAAAAATATAATAATAAAGACCTCAAAAGCTTCCCGTTTGCAAAAAACGGTATACCACACGCATTCACCCTCATTAAGGCCCTATTATTTAATAATAACGGAATAATAATCGGTATGCGTTCGGATAATCGATTCGGTTTTAAGGTAGGTTGCCCTTGATTGCGACTATCTGAACACTGCCTAAATTGAACTGTTTTCTTTTGTTCCTAGAATTCGAAAATGNTATTTACAATAATATTTTTTCGTTAATTTATGAAAATATCAAATTAGCCCGTAATCCTGGTACATAAAGTTAGCCTATTAATAACACAGGTACGACTGTACTCAGTGTTGCACTATCAAATGCAATTGAGGCGCCTCTATGCCAGGGTTTTTATGTTCCTGGTCAGGCTATACAATTTATTTATATCGATTGGAACGATAGAGCTCCACGAGTAATATTTAAACCAAAACAAGTGCACATATTATAGTTAATATTGTTTTTGGTTTTAACTAATTAAATAATGCTTTTTAAAAGCATCTTCTTACATGACTGTGAGCCT